TTCTTCCACATTGCAGCGAGGGCATAGGTTGTCTAGGTATAGTATGGGAACCTTCTATGGAGTTTTATTCTTATAGGGAGCTAGTCAGCTATAAGTTTAGTCCGGAATATTAATAGTGCTCTGAATCTGCTTTGGTTCAATTTTTTCAGTTTTTTGTTGGCCTTAATTATTATATCGAATTGTTCCTTAGATCTAGGTTTGTAGGTGGCTAATTGACTTAAGGTTAAATCAAAAGTATTTGTGAAGTGATTAATAAATATAATCCAATAGGTGATGCTGGTTGCATTGGAGTTGTTAATTAGAGGCAAAATTGTGAAAGATTTGGGGAACAAAAGTGATGGGGTGTAATTACTGTATTGGCATCTATGTTTTTGTTAACTGTTTTAATTTTTTGTCTGGTAAATGTTAAATTTTTGCTAGATGTTTTCTTATTAATCAAGCTGATATATCTGGAAAAAGGCACTTTAACTTGCCTATTGACATATTCAGAAATTTCTAGATCTGGTATACTGGGAACTTTGCAGGTGATGTAAAAGTTTGGTGCTATATCCTGAGTTAGGTGAGATAGAATGGGCCAAAAATTTGCCCAAATATTTGAGTTATTTGTGTATGTTTAGAAATGGATATCTGTTTTTGTTTTTATTATATTAGAATATACAGTCACTATTATATTGCTAGAAAGATGAGGTCTACTTATTAGGGAGTGAATAATTAGTTGAGGTTGATGTGATATAATTGATGAGAGAATATAAGTAAGTTCATTGATATTATTGAGGAGCTTGTATTGATTGTTGTTAGAATAGGATCAGACTGAGCTTAGTTGACTCAAAGACTTGTCCTTTATACAAGGTTGGATTGGGCAAGAGCAGCTTATAATTTGTTTGTTAAGAGTATCTAAGCAATAGTGCTTGACACTCATAAGTGAACATATAATAGTGTTAACTCTAGCTTTGATAAAATGTATTGAGTTATTCTCGAGATATGCCCAAAATCTTGGTTGGGAATTGGGGAGGGGAAGCATGTTTCCTTTAATAGGAGGCACGGAGTTAGTAAGGTTGGTGAACCACTTGGGAATAGGACCTTTAGTAATGTAACCCTTGTAGGTGTGAAGTTCCTTCCATGTTAGCTTGATTGAACTATTATAAGCTAGTAAATTGTGCAATATCTTAATATTTGCATAGTGTAGTGAAAGGGCAGTTTTTTTGTTGAGATTAGTGATCAAGCCAATAGATAAGTTGTGATTTTCTATTGCAAAAGGGCATGGGTTTGGACATACGTCGATTTTGTATTTTTTTATAATTTTTGCTACGCGGGTCAGCCATGAGACTCTGAATAGTTGAGAGAAGCATATAGAGCAAGACCAGATAGCTTGTGAAATTTGTATTGATCGAACTTCTTGAAAAGTTGATTGTGAGGTTGTGGAATTAGTTAGTCGTGCTACCAGTAGTTTAACTGCAGTTGTGTCTCTTCTGTTCTAGAGTTTGGCTATATCAATTTCTACTTTTGAGTAAAGTACTTTGTTGGAAATAGTTTTCTCTATACCCAATTTTGATTTAATGCTTTGTTGAACTTTGATTGCAAAATACTAGCTTCATTGTCAAAGGGGATAAAGATATGGATTGCATATTCTAGTTGGGTTGGAATTATCCAATGAAAGACTTGTTTTGGAATTGTGCCATTCCAGGCTTTTTAAGTCGCAATTGCTAATAAGAAATTTGAGATTTTTTCAATAAGCTTTTGTTTTGTGGCCTTAGCTAATGATTTCCCACAGAGAAAGATATCAAGATATTTGATTGAGTCATTGTAGGGTTTGACTAAGATTTGCTTATCTTCAATGGAGAGTATATGTTTTCTGTTAGGGTGAGAGAAACTAAGGTTGATAATAAGATCAATCTTTTTTTTGTTATATTTAATGTAATTTAGCTTCAAAAAGGTGTCGAAGATATTTGTTGCTTCTTGAAGGTTGCTCGACTATTGCTTGAAAGTGTTATATTATTCATATATATGAGGATTCTTGCTCTGCCTGGGAGGTCCCTTGAGACTTTGGTCACTATTGGATCATAAAATATTGTTCAAAGAAGTGGAGCTAGAGTTTCACCTTGATCTATGCCATTACTAACTATAATTGGGTCAGTTAATCTGTAGTGGGTAATTATACTGAGCTTTCTATCATATAAAAGGTTTAGAATTAGTGTTGCAATTTGAGAAGAGATTTTGATTCGGTTCATAGCTGCTTTGAGACTTTGTAAATTTATTGAGTCAAATGCTTTGAAGATGTCGAACGAAACAATCCAGTGATTCTTGTTAAGATTGTTAACAGCTTCAAGTTCAGCAGATATGATTGCAATCAGTTTCATAATACTTTGATGTTTGAGACCCGCGAATGAATTATTCAAAAGAACTTTGTTTTTACAAATTATGTTTGCTAGTTTATTATTAATTATTTTAGTGAAGATTTTCCTGTTAGTTTCAATTAGAGAAATCAGTCTTGTGTCAGATAGTTCATGTGACTATACTATTTTCTTTGATAGCAGTGTTATCACTGAGTCTTTCCAGTGTGAGGGGGAGATACTAGAGTTTAGGACTGAATTAAAAAGAGTTGTGCGGATTTTTCTTGCTACTAAACCCAAGTTAATTCACACTTCATAGGGAATGAATGTGAGTCCTGAAGATTTTTACTTGGAAAGAGAAGCTATGATATTATCAATTTCATCAAAAGAGATTTTAGCTATTGCCTCTTCAAATATATCATTGGAAAGTGTGCTTTGAGGTGGATATTCTTGAAACCAGTGTTGATCGAATGTGAATGGTTTGGATTAGAGAATGGTTTTGAAGTGGTTGGTAATAATCATGATTAGGGTATCTGGATTATCCTATAGCTGGTCTCTGTCAGAGAGAATAGAAAGGTCAAGGAATAGTTTGAGATCACCTAAAGCTTTTTTGATGGCTGCTTTGGGTTTTTCCCAGAATCTGTAATAGTTTTTTTCTATTTGATGTCTGATTTCTTCCAGTACCAAGGATTTTGCTTTAGCAAGTTTTTCCTTTAGAAGGCATTTAAAAATCTTGTAAGTGAATTTATTGTTTGAGAGTGACTCAATATTTTACTGTGAATTAAAGTACTAAGCAGGGAAGATTAGATAGAAGTTTGTTTGAACGCAGGTATGAGATTGCTCTTTTTGTGACTTTGATGACATTGTCATATTGCGGAAAGGCCTTTCCTGATATGGTTAGAACTGTTTGTTTCTTTGAAGGTATGTTGTTGTTCATAGTATTTTTGATGATGCTATTAATTTTGTCCCAGGATAAAGAGTTAGTACCTGTGCAAGCAAGTTCAATGGATTCTTTCATTGATTCAATTTGTTCTTTTGTAGCTCTGTCAAACAGAAATACTTTGGTTAAGAAGTTTATTTGGCTTAACTTATACTCAAACCAATCCAGAACTATTGTGAGTATTTTGTGGTCAGAAAGAATGGCTGTTTGATTTGATACTTTATAACTAAAAACTTTGTTTGCAAGATTTGTAGATATCCAAATCTGGTTTAATCTTGAGGCACTGGTACCAGTAATATAGGTGTAGAGGTGTTCCTTGTTGATAGCTTTTACTATGTCGACCAGCATGGAGAGGTGATTATATATGAGCTGTTTATGATGTGGGATTAAAGTATTTATGGCTGGTGATTGTCATGGATAGGAGTTAAAGTCGCCTGTAACTATGAGATATTTGGTTCTATGTTGGTTTGGAAAAGTTTTGAATGACTGGGTAGCGAGTCGTCTTTCTGTTTTTTTATGAGAGAGGTACAGGGATATAATTATGATATCTACTTTTGGTTTGAATTTGAGATGGGCTGTGCATCAGAATTCATTTTCTGTAAAAGTATTAAAGATATAGCTTGAAATTTCTTTGGTGAATATTAGGCATGTACCATTCATGGCTGTGGGGCTAGGTTTGCTTGAAATAATTACTTTGTTGTTAATTCTTTTTGGTAAAGATTTGGTAATTGTGTTTTTCATCTTAGTGCAGCAGAAAATTGCTCTTTCATTGTTAATAGATTTGACTATTTCATGGAGTTTTCCTGTTTAGTTTAAACCTCTAACACTGAGAGTGAAGATTATGAGTAGGTTTTTTATATTTGTTGAAGTGTTTGAGGATTGTGAGGCTGAGGAGGGAGTGTAAAAAGAGTTGGGCATATTGGGTTGTAATGACATTAAAATAGGCATGGAAGAAGAGTCAGGCCTAGGTCAGGTGACTCTTTTTCTATGACAAAGGCTAGGGAAAGTTTTTCGAAGAAAAAGTGATAACTGAGTAGTTTGATAGCAAAGTTTAAGAATTGGTCTTCGACAAGAGGTAAAACCATGTCAAGTTCGCTTTTTTGCAGATATTTGTTGACTTCAGAAATTGAGGGCAAGGTTGACAAAACAGGCGAAATCCATTTACATGGGATTTTCCCTTGGTTTGTGTTTTTGATTTTAATGATTGTATGGTTAAAGTCGGGGGAGTCTCTATGAAGTTGTTCGCTTGTTATGTTAAGTTTTTCTTTTAGTTCATCTGGTGTTTTGGGCATGTGTGATCTTTCATCCTGGTTCAAGCCCTTGTCAATCCTTTCAGGGCCTAGTGGAAGTTTGAAGAAGAATTTTTGTTTTAGAGTTTGGATGAAGTCTTTGACTTTTTCTTGTAACTATATTGATAGTGTAATGGAATTATTTTTACTATACCAATGTAGAGGAGGAGTGGATATTTTGCATGGATATAATCAAGTGGGAGGCATTTAACTGCGAAATTATTGGATCTGAGAAGTTCTACAACTGAGAGAATAGCCTCTATATTGTTTTCAACTGGAAACTGGCATGAAATTTGAGAAGGTAACTCAAAGTATGAGGCAGGTAAAGCCACCTTGGGGGAGAAAGCTTAAAGTATGAGTCTGGTAACTTGAGTGAAATGTAATAGTAATCTCTAAGTTTATCCGTTAAGTCTCTTAGATTCCTGTGATCACTGTGCCTGGTTAATGGGAAGAAGAACTTAACCTCAGGTCATAAGTCAGCTGAGTTGTCTGAAATAGGTGGTCTTTGCACAACGAATGATTCAGGCAGTCTATCAAAGTTGTAAAAGGCTCTAAGGCTATTAACCACAACAGCTGTATATCTAGAAGATGTGATTGGAATGACCATGCAAAGTTTAATCTTTATTGAGGTGGAAACTTGATTTAGAGAGACTGGCAAGAGAGGTAACTTGTCCTTAATTAGCTCTTCATATTTTGCTGACAACGTTTGATAATTAAGCTTCTCTGCAGAGGAATCAATAAAAAAGTTGAATCCATATTCGAGGAGTTGGGCAACTTGCCAGTGTTTGAAAGGGGCAAGATTGGTTAACTTGAGGTATATAATGAAGAGAGCTTTGTTAATAATGACTCTGATTTTCTTTCCAGTGGTTCTGTTGATGTATCTGATATTGTTTACCTTAAGGTAGTTGCTATGAAAGCCTTTTTCTATATTTTCATATTTGATTTGGTGTTGATCCTTAATTGTAGATTCTTTTGCAAAGGTTCTAAAGAAGTCTCAGTCTCTGTAACTGATTTTTGTTATGATGGCTTTGGTTGATGGCTTTAATTCTGAGGGACCAGCTTGTTTAAGGTTGAGGAACCATTGGATAATTTGTTCAATATTTCTCTCATATTTATCTACTTCTCTGCAGAGTTCAAAAATTTTTAACTGCTCTTTGAGAGGGCTTACTTTTCTAATGTTGCCATCCATTGTGAAGAATATATCAGATCTACAGGTAGTTTGGCTGTTAACTTCATCAGCCCAGGATTGAGTGTCCTTGGAAGAGGATAATATCGGTTGGTCGATACTGCTAAAGTGTATATCTTGCATATCGATTTTCATTTCTGAACTGGTGCTTGCTTGTGCATCAGTATTATTGTCTGTGTAACTTTCTGTAGGGGGTGCATTAGGAGAACAATCATCTTGCATGTTATTGTCATTGCTCATTTCCTCATTACATGCTAGGTGTTTGGAGGGGATATGGGCGTTTTGGTTTTCCTTTTCAGAGTAAAAGTTTGATTATTTTCATCAGTGGTGATGTCCAGTTTGTCCCAAGGGATGTGAAGGCTGTAGTTTAGGCCAAGTCTTTGAATCTCCTTCATTACATCGAATCTATCACCATCTGTGATTTAAAAATATGTTGGAAGTCCAGGAATATGTTCAGGTCTTGTAGTAATATTGATTCAGGTGTGGTTAGAGAGACTGTTGTTTATACTGATGAAAGTCTTGTTCTCTGGTAATCATCAAAGGATATTGCAATTACTTTGACTTTTTCTTTTTCATCTTGAGGATACCGGACTGGTGTTAGCTATACTCTTGGAAAGTTTTCTAGCTTGGGAAGGTGAAAGGAGTTAGTTGAATGGTGACTGTTATTTTTTTTATTTTGGTGTTTTTGTAAATGATAATGGCTTTGGGATTACTAATAGAAGTAACTAGGACATCTAAAAGAATGTATTTATGATTGAAATTTTAACCTTTGGGAGGCATTTGTCCCCTAGAGTCTTTAGTTTTCTTTCTTGTTATTGAAATTTTTGAAGTTTTTTTCCTTTTAACTAGTATTATTAACAAAAAAAAAAACCCCCTTAAAAATTTCTAATCCATAGTTTTTTATCTCACAATATTTAATTTTACATATCAAACTTTTGATTTTAAATTCTATATCTATTATACATAAATTATAACATCCATATAATCTCTAATAATATGTTAATATAAATATATAAAAAAAATTTGGATATTTGCATAAAATTATTAAATATAATATAATAAATTTTTAAATTTAATAAATATTATAATCTTAAAGACTATAAATTATTTGATTAATAAAACTACATATATAAAAAATATCCAGATTTGAGTATTAATTTATTGCAATAAAAATTAAATTTTATAAAAAAATAATTATAATATTTAATATTTATATATATATATTATGTTATTTTATATTAAACTTATTTATACTAAAATAAAATATTGACATAAATATAAATTTTATTATTTTATATATTTTAAGAAATGGTTATTTTTTAAAACTCTTTCCGCTGATTCTTCTTTTCTTAAAAATTTCCTTTTTTGATAATTTTTAAAAAAAAAACAAGATACACTAAGCCCGACTTAACAGTATCTACAAGAGCTAACAACTATATAACTCTTCTTAAAAGATATATACAAAGTTAATAAACAAGTTATCAGATAGAGAAGTACTGTATATACTTTTCATAATAGTAATACACTCTATCAAAATTTTTGAGAAAAAGAAAGACAAGAAAGAAAATTAGAATCACAATAAGGCCAAAAAACCCAACATATATTCTTTTAACTCTTAATCAGGTCAATATAGATTAATATCTTTTTAGATATTATAAGGTATCTTTACAACATAATAGTTTTAACCAGTAAACTACTTATAACCCAAAAGTCATAAAAATCCAAGTGGATATCAGGAATCCAAGAGCAACAGCTAAATAATATAGATAGCAAATCAGTTGCAATACATAAAAAATAGATATATAATGCAAAACACATATACATCCTCATAGTATCCTCAAATAAAAACAATATTTATATGATGTATTTCTTAATAAAATAAATATAATACATGTTTAAAACTCATCAATAAAGTTTTATCCTATACAATTCAAAAAAACTCTTTCCTGAAAAAATTCCAAAATGAAAAAATTTCCTTATTAGGCAATTATACAAAAACCAACTCGTCTCCCACTACCAAGTAGCTACAGTGAGGAAAACATGGTCACCTCACGAGAAACCAGAAGCATCACTAAGCAAACAACACTAGACTACAATGAGAACAGACTATCAAGAAACAACGGAAGAATTTTAAAACCCAAAGCAACAACTCCAACAGCACAGCTTAGACACACCCCACTTGGTACGAGATCTTTGACCCAGAATAAAACACTAGGAAGAGCAGTGGAGAAAGGAAAGGAGAAGGTAGCAACGTTCGAAGTAAACTGTGAGATAGATATTGAGAAAGTACAACGATTGAAGTAAACTGTGAGATAGAAACTGAGGCTTCAACCCAAACAACAGAATTGGCAAAAAAAATGGAGCAAACAAGATTATCGACCCCCATTACCACAATCACTATCAGCAATCCAAATTCTCCTGGGTAACAAGCTCAGAATCTCTCTCTAAACATTATGGAACAGACAGCCTTCAGTTATGAAAAAGAAAGTCAAGGGAATAAGCAAGAACCAATCAGAAACATGACATACTCACAAGTCAAGAGACCTGAGAAGGCCCTTATTGACCCAGAACTAGTTCCAGGACAGTTACAGGTGGAAAAAATCAACTTCATCAAACAAAAAATAGTGGGGCTGCACTCCCTGAAACATGTGCGCTTTGAATTTCCAACTGGTTATCCCAAGATTGCAACCATTTTTGACAATCAGGAAGATCTCCACAAGGCAAGTGAGATCAACACCACAGACAATGAAATAGCCAAATTTAGAAGGATTGCTCACCCAGGATTACATGAAAGCAAGTTCCGAACCATCAGTATATGGGACATCCCACAACATTTCACCAAAACAGATTTAGCAGAGTTTTTTGACAACCAAATCAACATCAACTATATCACTCTACAAAGAGCAGGCCCCTTCCAATTGGCCAATATTACATTTACAAACACATCAGACTATGTAGAAATCAGCTGAGAATAGGCAATTGGACGTGGATATCACTCATACAGGATATTTCCCTTTTATAAGACATATGAAATCAAACAAGAAAGATAATGCTTTAGTGCAGCTCTCACCTAGCTACATCCCAACACTGCAGTATCTGATCTGGCTATAATCATCACCAGCACGAAAGCAAAATCATGTTACATATCCCATGACAACAATAACTAGGCCAAGAGACTCGCAATCTTTACATACAAGAAACAGGAAGACCTTGTTGCAGCAAAGACAACTGCACCTATGATTGAAGAGGCACAAACACAATGGGTTGATCGGGAAACAGACTGTGCCCTATCTGCAGCTCATCAAAATGCAATCTCCCCCTGTGCCCAGAAAGACCAGAAGTGCCACCACCAAGACAACTCACCAACCACTCCAACAACCCAAGGATCCCAGCAAAAAATATACTCAGTATTCCATCAAACCACAGACATAAAGAAGCCAGGTACAACAACAACCCTAGAAGCTATGCAAACATTATTTAAATATGGAAGCAATACAAGCTACCGACTAGCAGAAAGAGACCTATACGAACTACTCCTTTCCCTGCAAGGAGAAATCCAAGAGATGAAAATCTCTCTCAGAGATCTAGATGAAAAGGTAGATGCTTTAGAACAGGAATGTACCAACAGATATCCTGAAAGCATCAACGAACTCATGGAAGAATTAGAGGAGACACCAACAACAAACGAATCCATTTCAGAAACAACTTCAAACATAAGTATACAAGATATCAGAGCATCATAGGAAGCATATCAAAAACAACTCAACAAAATGAGCTCCACGATGAAGGAAGCAATCAACCTATTCAAACTATCACAACCGGCCAGCCTAGCAGGACACAACACATCACAATAATATGACAGAACAAACATTTGAAACATCTCCAAGGGAAACATAAAATAGGCGATAACATACCCAACTCAACATTAACACATCAAACGGAACAAACTACTACAATAAATACAACATATACAAATAACAACAAAGTCAATAATTGGAAGATTGGTACAATAAATGTTAGGGAATAAATGAAGAAAACAAACAAATATCACTCACAACATATGCAAAAGAAGAACATTACGACATAATAGGAATCACAGAAACATGGTTACCACATCATCATAGATGGACAAAGAAAACTAACGAATACACAGTCTGAACAATGAGAGAAACAAGGTACAAAACTGGTACAAGTGTTGGAGTTATCATCAAAAAAGAATGGGCGACACATATCTTTAAATCCGGAACTTGGCAAATAGGGGCATATATATCAACATGGCTTTCAAGGCCAAGATCAGATATAGAGTAATAGTGATTTACAGTCCTGCAAATCATATCAAAACAAAAGACAAACACAGCCTGATCAAGTGGTTGGAACAAACTATTCAAGAGGCAACTAACAAAAACTTCTTCATAATGGTCCTAGGGGACTTCAATGAGATAGTAAATAGTGAGCTAGATAGATCTATCAATAAAAAGAAGCCAGGCTCACACAACAGAGAACTAGTCAACACGCTTATAACCTTCGACTTCACAGACACATATAGACACTTAAATCCGCATACAAGAAGCTTTACATATAATAGAAGCAAGAGTGGTTACAACAGTAGACTGAACTACATATAGGTATCAAGACTATTGGTTCAACATATTAAAGAAGTGATGCATACATCACTAACCACAACTATAACCACAGATCACAAAATGGTCACAATGATTGTAAGCATACCACACAAATTCTGGAACAAGGTAGTGAACAGTAAAAATAATAACACAAACCAAATCGATTATGAAAACTCATCCAGCAAACAATAGAGCAACTTCAAGGAAGTGGTGGAGGAAAAGGCCCAAAAAACCTTATCACACAGCTACCTTCATCTAGAAGAGCTCTGGAACAAATTCAAAACATACTCCTGCAGGCTAGCAAGAAACATCTAAAAAAACAAAGAAAGAGCAGGAATATTAAGACAATCCATGAGTCCAGATACAAGGACATAATGAAACTCCCACTCCTAATGGAAAAAACATATAGGACATATAAAAGATACCTGAACAACAAACTACCAGATAGCGAAATGGGAAAAAAAATAGTAGGAATGGTGGACACCATTAACAAAAAGGAAG